CAGTAGACCATTTAAGTAACTTTTAATCATTAATGTCTTTAGATCATCCTGACCAAATTTGGAGTTGATCGCATGAATTCTGTGGGAGGAGTTTGTTAAAGTACGCCAAAAAATGATGGAAATTGACAAAAAAGCCAAAAATGGACTTACTACTGTATCGCTCCCTAGTGTTTGAATGGAATGAAAATATTAGGGTATGTAACAGGATGCGATGTGCACATATGCAACAAATTTCACAATAATAGGTTAAATGGTTTTGAAGTTATGAGTATTGAAAAACAAAGCCACGCCCTATCAAGTTCATTGGTCCATATCTTCTAAACCAAATGAGATATCAAAAGCTTTTGATAAAATTTTATGATATAGATCCAATACCGATCTACAGCAAAGTTAGAAGCAATCAGACCCAGCGTGTAGGAGGAGTTTGCAAAAATGTGTTTTTCACTAAATTCAAAATGGTGGAAAATGTTGGAACGCGGAGCTTAGGGTTTGAAGATGCTTTTTTGTAGACTTCATTTGGTTGCATGTGTGTCTAAAATTTCAAGTTAATTGGACCTACGGGCTGAGGGGGCTAAATTCTAGGGGGCGCTAGCCAGCAATTTTCTCATACTCAAGCATGGGACCCATAAAATATCAAGTTTTACCGCAGTCCTGATATGCATGCCAACTTTGGTGAGTTTTCGAATATGATAAAGCCCCCAAAAAGGCGATTCATTGGAGAAAAAATTATAATAATTCCTACAGTTTCAATAGGGTCCTCCCGGCCCGACGTTGTCGGTGCTCGGGCCCTAATAATAATAATAAACATTAGAAGAACAATAGGTCCTCCGCTCCGACTACGTCGGTGCTCGGGCCCTAAATAATAAACATTTGAAGAACAATAGGTCCTACGCTCCGACTACGTCGGTGTTCGGGCCCTAATAATAAATATTTGAAGAACAATAGGCCCTAGTTAAAGCTGCAAGCAGCATTGATCGGGTCACGCACTTCACGCACGTCGAGGGTACTGGCAGGACTGTGGTTGATGCGGCCATGCATTCCTGTGTGACCATCATACACTGAGTGCACGAGTTAAACGGTATTTCCTGTGTCGACCAATGGCATAGCCAGGTCATTTTGCCAGGTCTTAAGCCTCAAATGTTTTGAGTGTACCTCCGAATGCAATCATAACTACAAGCCTGTAAAAATAAAACTGAATGTGTGTGAATGCGCTTCAGTGTTAGTAACATAACAGATTGTCAAAGTAAATGCAGATCGTTTGTTTGTGCAGGTAGCTCTGACAATCACTGCTGAGTGACTCCAAGCTGGAAGAGTCGAGGAGAAATAGGAGAATGTATAGTTCCATGTGGAAAAAAAACATATTTTTGTAAAGAATTAAGGTTAAGTCAAAAGGTGAGCCAATGTAAAATAATCTATCATATAAATTAGGCTGGGTGCAGTTTGATTTTATGAAACAAACTTCACGTTGAATGAAATTACTTTACATTATGGCCTGTTCCAAAACAAACAAAAACATTTCAATTTACTATTAATAAAAACTCCACGTACATGGGCGATTTGGAAACTTTTATCCAATTTCTGCTCTCCAAGCATCTTAGTTTCCACATATTTAGATCAGAGAAGTCTTTTCCTGGTGGTGTGTCCACGAACCCTTTCAATAAGTTCAGTGTTTGGGCCACTGTAATTATTGAATCCTGCTTACGCCCTTGGTTGCCAGTAGGTGGCGCTATGACTATGAGTTAATATTGGCATGCAGAAGTCCTAAAGTCATGACAGTCATCAAAGCATGTCAAGTTTGGGACAGTTTTGACAAAGTACAGTCAAACCATATAAAATGGCTGCCACACCACATCCATGTCGATGAAACCTCAAGCTTTTAGTAACTTTGAATCAATAAGGTCTTTAGATTGTTCTGACCAAATTGATCTAATTAATTCCCTAGGAGGAGTTGTTAAAGTACAGCAGCTAGAAATGGCAAAACAACTTTGTAAGAAAGAAATTCATACAAAATTCAAAATGGCTGACTTCCGGTTGGGTTTAAAGCATGGACCCCAAAGACTTTTTACATGTGATAAATCTGCTTACCAAAACTTATACATCTAGGTGAAACATACTGCGAGGGCTGCATCGTCGAAATTTTGTAGGTGGCGCTATCAAGCCGACTTGCCACTCTGAAGCATTAATATAACATCAGATAAAAACATTCAGGATTTTGAATGTGTGACAATTTTGGTTATGTTTTGAGCATTTTTAGCCCCTCAAAAACACCTTAATTTTCAATGGCGAAGAATACGTCGTTACGGCAACGGCCTTTCACGAAACAACAAACTTTGAGTAACTTTTCATCACAAAGGTCTTTAGACTGTTTTGACCAAATTTGAAGTTGATTTGATCATTTCCCTAGGAGGAGTTCATTAAAGTACAGCGCCTGGAAATGGCAAAAAACGACACTAGAAATTCATACAAAATTCAAAATGGCTGACTTCTGCTTGGGTTTAGAGCATGGGCCCAAGCTACTTTATTTTAAGTCCAAATGTGATACATCTGCCAACCAAATTTGGTAAATCTATGTGAAACGTATTACGAGGGCTGCTTTGTCGAAATTTTGTAGGGGGTACTATCGAGCCAACTTGCCACTCTGAAGCATTACAACCATAATATTTAACTAAATTTTGGGCTTTAAATCTGTGTGCCAAGTTTGCTTATGTTTCGAGCACCTTAGTTTTTCATGGCGAAGACTGCATCGCCACGGCAACGGCGTTCGACAAAACATTAAAAGATTCATGAACTGACATTATGAACTTCTTACATTTGTGTGGAACTAATTTTTTGTTGATCCAATTCACCTCGTAAAAGAAACAAGCCAAAGTATAGAGACTTTAACTTCCTGTTACTAGTAGGTGACGCTATGACTATTATACATAATTGGCCCTTAGATGTCTTCAGGAATGGAGTCTCATCAAACATGTGAAATCTGGAAAAGATCTGATTATGTGGAGCCGAGTTACATCAGTTTATTCGTTCATGGCGAAGGATCTAAATTTGCCGAGCCGCCACGTCGCCGTCCTTTAACAAATTCTTACAATCTTCACAATGAAGCATTATCAAGGTATTAAGGTATTCTGACAACATTTTAGGGGGATCTGATTAATCTGTGAGGAGCAGGATGTCAAAGTACACAACCTATAACTTCCTGTTGCCACTAGGTGGCGCTCTAATTATGATTATAATTTGTCATATGGATGTGTTCCGGGTCAGGATGTTATAACATATGAGAAATTTGGAGTCGATTAGACAATGTATGGCCGAGTTACAACAACTTCCTGTTTCATGGCGAATGGTGTTTTTTTTGCCTCCACGCCACGGATACATAGTTCGATAACTTTTTGATCTTTGAGTAAATTTTCACTGCCAAGGTGTCAAGAGCATACTGACCAAATCTGAAGTCAATCGGGTTAAATCTCTAGGAGTCAAAACACGTAATAAAATAAAAAATGTCCGACTTCCTGTTTGGTTTCGTGAATAACTCCAAGTGGATTTTTTGTACGTCCCATCTTACATACAGCTAGGTGAAACCCAATGTTGAGGCTACTGAAAAGGGGGTGCTATTGAGCTAATGTTTCATAGCGCAGCTGGACACCCCAATCAGACTACAATTTTCGCCACGACTGCCTTGCGTGCCAAATTTCAAGATCTTACCAGTATCCCAAGCACCTCCTTTTCGCGATGAAAGACGCACGATAATAATAATAAACATTAGAAGAACAATAGGTCTTCCGCTCCGATTATGTCGGTGCTCGGGCCCTAATAATAAACATTTGAATTTCAATAGGTCCTACGCTACCAACTACGTTGGTGCTCGGGCCCAAATAAATATTTGAATTTCAATAGGTCCTATTCTACCGACTACGTCGGTGCTCGGGCCCTAATTAGAAGAACAATAGGTCCTCCGCTCCAACTACGTCGGTACTCGGGCCCTAAATACACAGCAAATTATTTACATTTGTAATTCGCATTATTGGGTGGAATGTCTTAATACAAAGCTGAATTATATTGAAAGTAATATTAAATTAACAATAAAATACATAGATATGCAAAAGTAATTATTTTTCTTATTCTTTTTCATGCTTGACTGAGTAACCTTGATGTTGTTGGGGCTAAATGGGCCGAACCAGCCATTTCTATTCACTTGTGCCTCAGGCCAGCTATGTTTACAATAACTATTTATTTGCAATATAATTGAGACCAATTACAAAAATAGAAACAGAGTTTGATGTAATTTTTTGAGGGAAGTTATTTTTGGTATAGTTGTGGTAATTAAGGAGCCTCCATTATTGCTGATTTTGGGCACACTTATAGTTTCAACAGTTTCAACACAGGGCAGAATACAAATATCCCCAGCTACAACAGATGGACAAAGAGAACCCCACTGTGCAGACATTACCTTAACTGGAGCAATAACGTCCACTATCAAACGATATTTTAATATAAGAGCTAGCCCCTTTGATGTTGTATATGAAGGCCTAGGGAATCATTACGATGGCCTCTGCATAACCTCCATAAGTCAGGTTAGTGTCAATAAACTGAGCTTTAAAAATTGATAAGGGCGATCACCTCACTCATGGAAAGGCCATTTCTGAGTTGTCCCTGTGAGGTGATTCTCATATAGAAGTCATGCCTTGCATTCAGGATGAATATTGCTTAGGGACAGTCATCTTCGCTGTGTTTGGGCTTCATCAACATATTGCTCACCACAGAGCCCAGATAGATGATTGAGAAAAAGCTATTAGGCTTAGATCATTCTCAGATATTACTGCACACCTCGATGCATTTCTGTTTGATTTACCTTTAGGCATAGAGGAATCTGACAATTTCAGATTCGTGCATGCGATGAAACATACATGATCAGGCAGTGCTGTGTGACACATGTAAAAGTGTCAAATCAAAATGCCAATTTGCAGAATCCAGCTGAGTGTTTCAAAGAAATCCCTGTTGTTTGACAGGTGGAAATGTCTTAAAGCTACATTTATTAATGTGAACATTGCAGAGACATTGCTGTCCGCCAGTCCCGGAGACAAAGGATGTTGAATTCCCCAGAGGACAGTGACCTGGAGGACAGATTCACGTATACCAGCTGGACTTCACGATGATGCCCCCCACCACCACACACACACACACACACACACACACACACACACAATGTACAAAGGGATCGGCCCCTTTGTATTTACACCCCATTTATACGGCGTCCTTTTGTCACAGAGTTCTGACATAATGTGTCACATGAATCAACCAAATGGTATGTTATTCATGAAGTAATCACCAAATACTCAGAGCACATGGACCAACATTGATCCCACCAATGTAATGTAATCCTTCCAGGATAATACCAGGCAGCAGCTCTTGTCCTGCAACCCTGAAGTGATGAGTGCAATAAATCTATGAGTGATATGTAAATGGAGTATTGCATCTGTTTGAATGTCATAGCTGCCTGAAGGTCTTTCATATACAGCATTTGTTGTAGAGAAATAATTAATTTCTAGAACGCTTTAATTTTTTCCTTCCATTGCAATGCACAAGCAATTAAACGAGCAGGAGTTCATCATTTCATGTCTTTTCATCAGTTATTTTCAACATGATATTGTTGACAAATTAGGAGAGTTAATTGATATTTCAAAACAGAAGATATGGTGACACTTTAACCCACATTAACAATTGATTGTGAGAGAAGGTCTCTTCAGCGTCATGAGTCAGACAGTATCAATGACAATATGTGGCTGCCACCTAGAGGACATACAGAGAAAGACATTCCCAATTGAAATCAGCTACAGCTTTACCTGAGTGTGTGTTAAACACATATTAAACATAGAATACTGGATCTATACATTCAAATGGAAGTTTAGATTGTCTTTTTGAAAAATAATTCAGATTCAGATTGGTGAAGAGAGTACATTTTACAAATAGTTATTTAGTTACTTATAGGATTCAAATCCATATGGCCTGCTTAGCTTACATAAATGAAACATGGAAATGTCAGACTGCACCATTCACAATAAAAAAATATATAGAAACGTCACAGTATATAAACATGTAAGATCACAAATATTATGAAAACAGGGTTTGATTTTATGAAAGTCTGAAGGATTATAACTAAACTAAACGACCACAAAGTAATTGCCATATGATGAACCTGAAGCAAGGGGCCGGGGCCCCTAGGGGTAGTTGCCTGCTTTGCCAAGTGGTGATGCAGCTGTGTGCCAAGCACATACTATTACATATCTACCATTTCCAAACAATCTTTACTTCACATCTCTTTTCAGATTTTCTCCGACCGCATCTACTCATCCAGGACCGAGTCCTTCACTTCAGCAGCCAGCACAGCAAAGAGGAATGAGGGGAGGAGGAAGCGGAGGTAGAGGGCCACCCTGGGGATGGGGTGGGCCAGCATAACCTCCTTCCTCTTCCTGTTCACCGTTTGCATAATCTCATTGGCAAGGACTGACGGGCTTACACCATGGATCAACTGGCTGGTGATAACTGTGTAAGAACACACATATTTACATTAATCCACATACTGTATAAAAAGGTTATTCCAAAGATTTGAAAATATACCTCACACCTATCTATTTTCTACAAACTGAAAGATTGATGAATGATTCCTCATTACCATCAACCTGTCAATCACTTCCATACTGGCTCTTTTACTTACATGCAGCCAGGATGTTTGGTTTAGGGGCGGGCCCCTCCGCTAGCGGTGAGTCGGAGGCATTGATAAAAGTATGACTGATGGTGCTGACGACTATCCCATACTCCTCCACTTCAGCCCGGAGGCAGTCGAAGAAGGCCTGCACCGCATGCTTTGATGCAGCATCTAACAGGTGTTGTCACACACACACACACACACACACACACACACACACACACACACACACACAGAAGAGGTGTAATACGGTTGTAAAGAAGTCTCATTCCAGTTATTACAGGGGACATTCTTTAATTGTTTTCTGTCCTGTCACAGCTCACAGAAAGACTTCTATTGCATCACAATGTGAGAACACATCTACATGTTTGAAACCTCTTACAATGTTGAGTTCAGAGAGTTGTTTATCTTGTTTAGTCCACCCTCAATGATATGCATTGAGTGGACAACATAATAGAAACACCTGTCAGTAAAACACAATACAGTTCAACAGCATCACAAACTACATCCTCCAATATGACCATTCAGTCAACACCTCTATAAATCAGTTTTAACAAAAACAGAACATATAGACAAGGGGTGTCAAACTCAAGACCCGCGGGCCAAATCCAGCCCGCCACGTCATTTTATGTGGCCCGCGAATCCACCAGCAAAACAAACAAAAATAATAATAATTAAAAGTTAGACTTGATAATAAAAATATCCCCAAAGCCGAAATTATGAGATAGAAAGTTGAAGTTGTGAGAAAGAAAGTCAAAATTATGAGATACTTAAACACACAGTCATAGAAGCAGCTCTTGCATTTACAACCGGTCCTTTGAGTGCAACCGTGATGCTGATGTGGCCCAGAGTGAAAATGAGTTTGACACCCCTGATATAGACTATAATGTAGCAGTAGTTCTACTTGAGTAAAGTTTTGGCTACTCTACCCTCACTCTACCCTAATGGCTAGCAACCATAAGAGGAGAGAGTGTACATTTTTGTATGTGATTACAGTGAACAAACCCTTTCATTGAGAAAAGCTAAGAGACTTTTGTAGGCAACTCACATGAACTTCTGAATGGGACAGCCAGTCTTCCCTGGATGCTATTAATCAGCACAATATGCCCCGATCTTCTTGAGATCATTGTTGGAAGAACACCTGCCAGATTATTTGGACATATTAGCATTTAGATAAAAACCAACATCAGATAAATAGTAGTGGTAGTCCAGCCCACCTTTGGCCAGAGTGCTGGGGCCGAAGTAGTTAATGTCCATGACGTTTCTGTCCAGTTCTAGGGAGACACTTTGCACCGGGGACTTCAGCTTCATGCTACTGTTGCAGATCAACACATCCACACAGCCGTAACACTCCAACACCTCAGCCACCACGTCCTCCATACCCATATCGCTGAAGTCCAGTATCACCAGCTTTGGGGCAAATGTCTAGTGAGACCCAAGACTGTATTAGCTTGCTATACTAATATGTTGTGTTCTTCAAGCATCAATCTGAGTGGTGTGTTGCTGCCGTCATGACAAAAAATACATGCTTAGTTTTTTGTTAGAATGAGAGTATTGTAAGGAAGTTGAAGGAGGCGGAATGGGGGAAAGTAATTTTTGCTGTAACAATACAGTTGTTTTCAGGTTATATCAAGATATGTTCATGCGTTAATGACATTTATTTCTCTCAACTAAATACAAAATTATTCCACTTTCAAGGAATAGTCCTACATTTTGAGAAATATGTTTTCTTGCTGAGAGTTAGATGAGAACATCGATACGGTGTTCCATAGCTCTAATAATTTTTTCCCAAAACGTCAAACTACCCCTTTGAAAAACAACAAATGAATAATCTCATATTATTGATCATTTCATTGTTTGAATTGCTTTGACTTTGTGCAGAATCTCTTGGTTTATTGTTTAGCTTTACAATATTATTATGTTGAATTGAACCTGTTTGGATTTTCCAGATTAGCCTCACAGATTAGTCCATCACAATCAGGGACAAAGTGAAACGGTTTTCATAAATATATTTCTATCCACATTAAAAACAATTTTGTCTGTCAGCATATTTGATGTTGTTAACATTTTGACACAACCTTCAAATTATGACTTTAGTGATAATGTCACCATGTCTTATCGAAGCATAATATAAAGCTTTATCATGTAAACCAGTCATTGTAAATTGGTCTTGCCAATGAAGGACACAGTTTCTCATTACAAAAATATACAGTGGATTCTTTTTATACATCATAGCAACTTCTCGTGCTCTAATAAGGCAGGTTTTTTTTAATTCTGGGCGCTCTGGTGGCCTAGGGCAGTAATTCTCGACCTATGGGTCGCAGGAGATTTTATTTGGGTTGCCAAATAAATTTGAAGAATTTATTCCATAGTTTTTTGTCTAACATTTCTATCTACAGTACACCTTTGAGCCACATGAGGGAGCCTGAATGTTCGCATTGTTCTGATAATTGTAGCCCACTTAAAACATTGAATCTAATATATATGATATGAAAGGTTGGTATACATTCTGTTTGTTTAACTGATGAGAGAAAATGAAAAGAATGAGTCTGTTATAAGGTATTTAACATGTGTATATGTTTTCAATAACACATGCATAAAACGAAGATGTGATTTATCAAACATATCTCTTTGAAATGGTTGGTTTAACTGTTTTATTAATAAAAAAAAAACAAATGTGCCATTATAATATCGAAATAGCTTAGCTTATATAAAAAGACCTCACAGACATATTTTGTCATGGCGGTAGTAACCTCAAGCACATTTACTGTGGATGCTGCAATGGGAACAGCACAGGCAAGTAAACTATGACCTGCAGTCAATGATCATCCACAGGGAAACAATCTCAACAGTAACCAGATATGGATTTAATTTGTGTCATCGACAGCTCAAACATCAATGGCCATGAGTTCATATATTTGCTAATTAGATGATATTGTTATCTATGTATATGTTTTTTTTTCCATATAGACACATCTGCTCCGTCCTGTGTATAGAAGACAGTGTGCTGTCAGACAGGATATCCTCCTATTGTATTGACAAAAGGAGGAAGTTGTGAGGTTGAAGGTGGCGACAGAGCAGAGGATTATGACAAAAACAAGGACAGGACTATTCTTGCCTAAAACTGTAAACCCACCATGTCATGTCAGTGTCCTGTGTTAAGTCTTAAAGTGTCCAGTGTATATTCATATAAACAGGAGATACAGTAGTAGTGTTTACTGAAGCAGCAATAGTGAAAGATTTGTTTCTCAGCTGTTTGCCAAAAAGATGACACAGCACAAAAAAAGAGTAATGGATTTACTTTAGAAGGGTTTACTCAGTCTGGCATGTCAACGATGTTTCAAACTGAAATAAATGCCAGCGTGTTCCATTTTTACTTGTTTCCTTTCCTCACCTCTCTGGGGTCAGCATCATCAGTCAGATAGTTATACAGAGACTCCAGTTTATCCCAGCTAGTCCCACACAGGATAAGCCTGGCACCGCCTTTATGGAAGAGATGGGCACACTCTGAACAGAAAGAAAAAAGAACTCATTTAAAGGAATAGTTTTTTTACTTTAAGAGCTAGATAAGAAGATTGATACCACTGTCATATCTGTATGCAAAATATGAAGCTTAGCTAAACATATAGACTAAAAACATGTAGTTATATGTCAGACTAGTTCTTGGGAGGCAGCATTGACTTCCTGCAGTCTTGTTGTCACAGTGACTGCTTCTGAGCAGGAAGTTATGGCACATAACTGATAGGCATTGCTAGGCAACCAGCCACGACTCCAGAAAATCACTGCTTCCATCTAAGAAATAACGGCATCGGCATGTAAACACCTCAAATTGTTGTTTTTACACTGCTGTCTCTGGTTTAGCTTTTTTTTTTTCTTAGAATATAGTTAAGACATTTGATTACACTTATATTATTAAGACAGATGGCTGAGGCTTCCCATCCCTCTTTTTACTTTTTTACACAATAGAACAGTCCCTGACATACAACCTCCAAAAAAACAATTGAAAAAAATGAGCATGATCAAGTTAATAACAGTACTTCTAGTTTGGCTATTAGTGAGTACCTGTCTATTAATCATTTATTTTACTTAATTTTATTATTTCATCCATTGAACTGTTGTATTTATTTTACCTTACTTTGTCTTGCTTTTATTGGGCCTCACTGTTTTATTTGCTTTTGCTTTGCTTTGTCTGTCAAAGCACTTTGTAAACTCTGTTTTTAAAGGTGCTATATAAATAAAGTTATTATTATTATGAAGAACTCAAACTTGGAGAGAGCTAAATCAAAAGGTGGACAGATCTACCTAATTTTTTAAATTTTAATATTGGGCAGCTAATATTGCCAAACATACTGGATCACTACATTGGCAGGTATAGAAAAGGGCAAACATGGAGTTTAAGGCCACGTCCACAATACTCCATTTCCATTTGAAAACGCATATGTTTTGCTACGTTTACACTGGGCGTCCACACTACGCCGGCATTTTCGAGCACCAAAAACGGAGGAGTTTGAAAACGCTCCCGAGGACGGATAAGTTTGAAAACGCCGGGGTTACATATTCATGTGGACGGTCGAAAACGGATAAGTTTGGAAACGATGACACCCACACCCACGTTCACTACTTGATTGGTTCTTAGCAGTCATGATGTGTCCTTCCCTGATGCGTTACACTCCTATCACGTGACCGTTTACCCCAAGTCATAAACAACAACATTGATTACCGATCGACTACTAGGTTAATTTAACATGGACAACTGATTACAGGCGATGCTGACCTTGTTGTCTTTAATAGCAGCTGTTGTTCAGTTAAAGTCTGCCTTTTTTGCGGAGGAAGCAGCTGTTATTGGAGCGATTAGTGAGCGACGTAATCAGCCCTAAGGAGCGGCCGTCTGAAGTCAGGGTTAGTGGCTTTAGGGAGGGTGATGGACACAAAACGGAGGACTTTCCTGTCCTTATTAATATTTATTTTGTTCTGCACAACTATTGTGAAGTCCGCAGATAAAATGTAAAGGAACAAAAGCAGTAATTGCTCTCTAATAGGACAGAGACTTCAGCCACCAGCAGAGCTATGAGTGAGAACAGACAACAACGAAACCGAGAGGGAACGAGTGAGAGACGTGTGTTGACCACATTTATTGACCCATAATCTAGTAAACTTTTATGTGTAAGTGTTGATTTTAAAGTAAATTTGATGTGAGAGAGAGACCAAAACCTGCAACACTGTAACTAAGTCTGAAAAATAAAACTTCTAAGACTTTCCACTAAATGAGTCTGTTTAAGTTTATAGAGGAAGATTTTAGAGAAGATCTTAAGTATCAAACACGACCTTTCATTATTAAAGACTACTTTATTACTCTGTCGTATTTTTTTAACTAAGCAACCGATCTACTTCCTGTTTACATCGACACCCACCCGCATGCCCAGTGTACGTGAATAGTCACGTGATATTCGTTTTCAGGCGTTTTAGTGTGAAAGGAGATCATCTCTAAAACGATATTGAAACGCTGTGTGGACGGAGATCGTTTTTGTTTTAAAACGAAAACGGAGTAGTGTGGACATGGCCTAAGTCAACTCTTTCTATTTCTCCATTTCATTTTTGACAGCCCTTCCTCGAAACAGCAAAACCCATATTTTAAACTCAAATTTAGTTTACAAAAGTCAGTTATAATATAGGGAGAGTTTAGAAAACCTTTTGGTCTTAATAACATAAACAGATTTTTTCAAAAATGTTTAGCCATTGATTTACACCATCTCAACTAGAATTGGTTTTGGTGCAGATGTTTTTTGGTTTTTTTTGAAGACCTTTTTAATGATGAAATCTTTGTATCATACACATCTCTGTGCCAGGACCACAGTTTGCAAAGTCTCTTTACTTTAGATATATCTTCAGGTCTGCTGCTTTGCCTCTCAATATTTTTCATGCTATCCCAAAAGACCAAATATAGTTCTCAATGTTATCCCTTATAAGGATGCAATCTTATATAACTGATAAAACCACAGCTTCCTGGGAAATGGATATTAAATAAACTATTCCGCAAGAAGTTTGGGAAGATTTCGTTTCACATATACACTCCTCTTCTTTCTGTATTCGACATAGTCTTATAAATGTCAGTCTCTATCCAATTTTTGGACTTCTGTTTTTAATTCCCTATATTTTTTATATCTTTGTAATTCCACTTTTGTATTGTAACTGTCAACCCTAATGATGGTCACCTTGAAAGAGGGTGGGGGGTTTAACCTGTGTCATGTCTATGAAAGCATTCAGATTTCTGTGTTGTTGGGATGGAAAACATAAATAAAGTTGTAACATATGAAGCTATTGCCACAAACATGCAGTTCAAAGCAACATATACTGAATTAAGTCAGTATACATTACTTGTAGTCATGGCTACAATACAATAATCATCAAATGACACAATCCAAGATCTGAATCACCACAAGTCGATTGTTCCTTAGCCCCAGAAGGATTACCAGTCTAGTGACTAGTAATAAATCCCTCCTCATATACGACCATATTCTGGACAAAGGGCTTGACTTCATGTGCCTAACAGAAACCTGGCATAAACCAGGGGGCTACTCCGTGCTTAATGAAGCATGCCCCCCTGGCTATAAGTACATGGAGAAAGCCCGCAGCTCTGGTCGTGGTGATGGACTAACCATCATGCACCGGGCTGAACTAAAACTGTCTCCTCTGCCAATGCCTGATCTTTCCTCTATGGAATGCCTGGCCTTCAAATGCAAACCTCCATACTCCATGACAGTGCTTCTCATATACCGTCCTCCGAAACCAAACCCATCTTTTCTACCTGAGATAAGTGATCTGCTTACCTCACTCTGCACTATGTCAACTAACATTGTCATTGTTGGTGATTTAAATATCCATGTCGACAACCCCTCCTGTCAGTTTGCAGCAGATTTCCTGAGTGTCCTTGAGTGTCTTGGCCTGCAGCATCATGTTGAGGTTCCTACTCACACCAAGGGGCACACTCTGGATTTGGTTATCACTGACTCTGCTTCCATCAGTAACCTACAGGTTTATGATCTTGGTGTGTCCGACCACAAGGTGGCCTTGACTTTTGTGCTGCCTACTACTAGACCTAAACGTCAAATGTCTTTCCGGAACTGGAAAAGCATTGACTCAGCCACAATAACCACGGATCTCCAGCTCATCACCTGCCCAGCCTCTGCATCAATGGATGAATTAGTGGAACTCTATAATACATCCCTGAGCAGTGTTTTTGATCTCCATGCCCCTGTCAAGTCACGTGAGGTCAATTTCTCACGCTCCGCTCCATGGTTCACATATGAGCTGCGGAAAATAAAAACAGCTGGGCGTGTTCTGGAACGACGCTGTAGACACTCTGGGCTCACTGTCCATAAACAGGCTTTCCGTGATCATCAACGGGCCTACTCCAACTCCCTTAATAAAGATGCTCGCTCACAGTACTATTCCAGCTTAATCAATAAAAACCCTGGCAACTCTAAACAGCTTTTTTCAACCATAAACCATCTCCTGAAGCCACAACCATCCTCTTCAACTGAGGCTACAGAGGAGTAATGCAACAGCTTCATTTACTTTTTTAGATCCAAGGTCAACAACATTCACTCTCTGATGTCCAGCTCTCCATCTATGCTTCCCTCTGGCACCAACACCTTATCTGCGAGTGTGCTGTCTCCACTACATCTCGCTGAGGTTCAGGAGAGCCATGTTGAGGAAATCCTCAGAAAAATGAAATCCTGTACCTGTACCCTGGACTCCATTCATACTGCTCTGCTCAAATCACATATCCCCACTCTCAGTCCTTTGATCACCAAAGTTGTTAACCTTTCCCTTCATTCTGGCTGTGTCCCACCTGCACTCAAGGTTGCTGTCATCTGTCCCCTTCTCAAGAAGCCCACCCTGGACCCGGAGGTTCTAGCCAACTACAGGCCTATCTCCAACCTCGCCTTCCTGTCCAAAGTGTTAGAGAAGGTAGTTGCTTCTCAACTTCAGGACCACCTCAAACACAACAAATTTCAGTCAGGATTTCGTTCAGGCCACAGCACTCAAACAGCTTTGCTCAGGGTGACGAATGACCTGCTGATGACAGCCAATGCAGGATCACCCTCACTCCTCATCCTCCTGGACCTGACTGCTGCATTTGACACAGTGGATCACACTATCCTCCTAGAGCGCCTCCACACCACCATTGGACTATCAGACTCTGCACTCAAGTGGTTTCAGTCCTACCTTTCAGGCAGAACTGAATATGTCTCACTGGGAAGATGCAAGTCCAGATTGCTCCCTGTCTCCTGTGGTGTTCCGCAAGGGTCAGTCCTCGGCCCCATCCTCTTCATTATTTACATGCTCCCCCTCGGTCATGTCATCAGCAGACATAGGATGTTTTTCCACTGTTATGCTGACGATACACAGCTCTACATCAAAACTGCCCCACGCCCCTCTGCAGCCATGTCATGTCTCACCTCCTGTCTTGGGGAGATAAAGGCGTGGATGAGCAACAACTTTCTCCAGTTAAACAGTAGCAAAACCGAAGCCCTCCTTGTTGGCACTCCACACCAGGTTCAGTCATCCTCCATAACTCATCTCACCTTCGACGGCCAGGTCATCCCCCTCTCCTCCACAGTGACTAATCTGGGAGTTAGGTTTGACCCTTACCTGACCTTTAATGACCATATAAAACACCTGTGCAAAACCTCGTTTTATCATCTCAAAAACATCTCCAAACTCCGCCCCACTTTAACCCTGTCAGATGCAGAGAAGCTCGTCCACGCCTTTATCTCCTCAAGACTGGACTACTGTAACTCACTCTTCACTGGGATCACTGCCAAGAACATCCAGAAGCTGCAATACATTCAAAACAGCGCTGCCAGGATCCTGATGAGAGTTCGGAAGTATGAGCACATAACACCCATTCTGCACTCACTACACTGGCTCCCTGTCTCATTCCGGATTGACTACAAAGTCCTACTACTCACACATAAATGCATAAATGGACACGCACTTCCCTACCTACAAGACTTCATCACACCCCAAATCTCCATCCGCACCCTCAGATCTTCAAACAGCTCGCTCCTCCGGGTCCCCAACACCAATCTCCGCACCATGAGCCACCGGGCCTTTGGCTCGGCAGCTCCACGCCTATGGAACAGTCTCCCTGACCACCTAAGGGCAACACAGACACTGGTCTCTTTTAAAACTGGCCTAAAAACCTTTCTATTCAGGAAGGCATTTCTGACCTAAATCACTGTCAGTTATTTCTTTTGGGTTTCTGTTCATTCACTGTTTTTTTATGCTTACTACTTCTTTTATTATAGTTTGTTTTAACTATGTTTTTTACGATGTTTTTACTATGTACTGGCTCTGTGGCACTCTGAGATTTTTTAAAATGAAAAGTGCGTTACAAATAAAATGCATTATTATTATTATTATAGTGAAATTTCATGGACTTTGCATCTGAGACATCCTGCTGACGAAAATAAAATCTCCATGGCAAAGAAATTACGTTAAATATTACAAAACACAAGTGGATTTACCTGTTCCCACCCCAGACACAGCATCAGTGATCACCATTACTTTGTTCCGCACTAAGGACTTGGACATGAACTGCATGACTTCATTGTAGATGTAGTATAACCCCGCTGCCACGACAATCAGCAGGGGCAACACCATCACAGAGGGCAGGGCCATGTTCTGTAGAGAGGGCACAGGATCAGTGCAGGCAACAGCTACACACCTACTAACCTGCATTAGAAGAGCCAGCAGTCTGTGCTGACAGGACAACTGGGATCAGGTTTATGGTCTCCTAAGGTGAGCTCATTTGTGGTGTAAACTAATACAGTGTCAGTAACAAAAAAAGTAAATGCAGAACACATCTCAATGATCTAAGGAGCTCAAAATCCATCCTATAAATGTGTTTCTAAATCTATAACTCCTCTTTTGCATTTGGTATTGATTCAATTGTGAAAACCAATAATGGATGATGGGCTTTATGTATCAGGACTCACCTTACCAGTGTACTATAGGAGAACACTAACTGTTGCTAATGATCTGTCTGAAGCAATCATGAGTAGGACAGTAACCTTCATCAATCTGTTTTAACAATATCAAAGAAGTAAACCTCAGGCTAAAAAATGTGATACACTATCTGTATTGTGTGTCTCTTCCTGTCTACACTGGGAGGAGGGAAATCTTAGTAGAACACAGGTAAACTTTCAACCTATAACTACTGAAATGGTATTTAAAGCAGCTGACATTTGGGGAAATAGTCTTATTTGCTGTCCTGGCTAGAGTTAGATAAGCAATTAAGAATGGTATTGATCTTCTCTTCTACAGTTACTCTTGGCAAGAAAGTGGATAAGCATTTGACAAACTATTACTCTAAATTGGACAACATGCTACAGTCAGATAAATGTAAATTACTACATAGCCCAGAGTCATTAGTACTGTACAATGTAAAGATACTTGCAGACCAATGTATCTGATCTATACACTATGTGTACCTGTATTTATGTTGACTGTGACAAAATATTGCTTCCTGCTCTGGATGTGTTCAGCCCCTTGAGGGAAGAATTGGCATTTGCTGGCCTTGTGAACGCACTTGTAAAATGAGTTTGGGGAGAACAGCTAAATATATTCTGGTCAAGCTGCCACCACAGAATGCCGTGCACTATGTCACCTCCAGGATATTGTCACAGGATACCCCAGGGGGGGCAATTCAAGAGGCTCACATTTACAAGCAATGGATGACCTTACTTGCCCTGCTTTACTTGGGAAAATAAATTCAAATAAGCCCTAATCCACATTAAAACTTGTATATATGACTCCTGAGACCCAGTTCCCAGCTCAGCCCCTCACCTGACACAAGATTGGATCCTAGTGGGTTAGTCAGTTTGCACAGGGAGTGAACGTATATATCAACCACACAACAGACGCACACACACAGATTACGTAATCTGTGTTATTCTAGGTTCACTTACAGCACGAACAGGGAGCTAATCCGACTGGCTTGTTTTTTCCGGATTTAGTTAGGGAACAGAAGCCCTTCTCCCTCTACGTCCCTCGTCCATTCACACAGCTCAGTTCCTCTGTCTGTCTGTCCTGTTGCTGTCCACTGGAACCTGCTGCTTATAATAGCCTCTCCTTCAGTTAGCCCTTAATACACACATATGTGGTATCTGAGGCATGTCCCCTTGTTGCCAGCATGAAGGGATGGACGAAAAGTGAGAGTCTCAGTTGTGTTAAGGGGCAAGTCTTGTGCTGCTGTTTTAGTTCGTAATGTTTTCCAACTCAAGAATGATTCTCTTTTCAATAAATATTGAATGCAGAAATCACTTGATTTAAGCACTTTCCTAGGTGAGATTACACCTTTAAGGCTGCAATACTTAGACTTTATTTGTCTGACTCAGTATTTATTCTAATTGGTTGGGTTATTCTAGAATAACTAAATACTGTACATAAGGGGCAATGCGATGCTCCTCCCCCACCTCCAACCCCTACATGCCGTGCCCTTGCTTAGACCATCTATCAACTCGGCCTTCATCTTGATCTCATCTACACACCTGTAAAGTTTTGCGACAGTTGTGACAGACAGACGGACTGACAGATATAAACACCTGGCAAATACTAGTACCTCTTCTATGGTAGTTCCTGCTAGTAGTTGTCTCCAGGACTAAATTTACTCACACACAGATAAGGTGAAAATGATACCAGCAACTGATCAACACTGTACTTTTTACTCCACTACATTTATCTGTTATAGTAAAGCCGATTAAGATTTTACATACAAAATATATGATTATGTTGGCATTGTCATCGTTTTTTAACAAATATATGAAATAGTTAGCATTAACTCCTCCTAAACCAGCTGTGGGACACACTACTCATGACTACACATAATTATGTAGTAATGAAAAGCATGCATTTATGCATAATAAATAGGCTACTTTGACTTGTAAAATACTTCAAGCACATTTAGCTGTTAAAACGTCTACAATTACCATTTTGAATGCACCACTTCTTCTGGCGGACTGTTACTTGTTATTAGTTTTTCAGCTCGTATTGTTTATTTTACGTTACATTTAACAGATTATCTAATCAAGGTCCACAATTGTAATGTATTTAAAAACTCAGTAACTGTGCTCTCGCTGTGGGCGGTGCCAGTGAGCAGTCATCGCGAGACTCCGTAGAATTCCAGGAGCTTGTGTGGGCTCTCTCTGCTCCCCCTTCGTTCCGTTGGGAATGAAGAAAATACAGCTATTGCTGCAAACCAGGCTAGTTATGGAACCAAACCCTAAATGCCAATTTTGCCCTCTGTGACTGGTCAAGAGGTGCTTTCCATGCATGCAGCGTCTCTACCTTGGAGAAAAGCACTGGAACCGTTTGAATTTTTGGACCGTCTATTTTTTTTAAAGTAATTTTAAAGATGCAAGCCTGTAGAAGATTTCATTAGCTAGCCTATCTGCTAGTTAGCTAACTGGGCTAACGATATCACTGGACGAACTTCGCATGGGCTGACTGCTGCGACTGAGAGAGTAGCCTGCTGTCTAGCTGCAAGCTTTCTTTTGGGTTGGGTCCTTCACATGGAGGTCTGTTGTTACTTAGTGGAGCTCAAAGGCGGTAACTGTGTACAAATGTTGTTTCTGTGGCGTACGCCATCACGTTATTGATTTGAAAAACCACTGGCAAGCTAACAGGATATTAGCCACCTTCCTCGACACTCCGCTTTGTGGTTGCAGGCCATGGACTGAAACGCATTCATCACTGAATGGGTGATGAGAAGGCTGGCTTGATGTCAGCTTATTATTCATTGGGAAGCAGCAGTTGGATACAGCTAAACAGACAAAAGAAGCGTTTGATTTGAACCTTGCACCCTAACAATTCAATTCCTGTTTGGTCTTTCTACTTGAAAATGCATCGAAGTGCTGGAGCTTTTTCCAAGTTGGAATAGAACGCACAACAACACAACGGGATTAACGTTCCCCCACTGTTGATGCAAATCTTCGAAACATATTACCCCGGAGATTAAAAGGTGGGGAAATAGAATGTCTGCCGCGAAAGAAAACCCCTGTAGGAAATTCCAGGCGAACTTCTTCAACAAAAGTAAATGTCAGAACTGCTTCAAACCACGAGAGTTGCATCTATTGACGGACCAGGACTTGACCCAGGTAAGCAGTGTTACATGTTACGAACAACAATATTCACATTAATAACATTTATATTCTCCGGTGTCTTCAATAATTTAAAGTCCCTTAAATGCCTGCATACTATAGTCAAGAACTGTTGTTGCTGCCAAACGTTGGAAAGTAAAGAGTGATGATTGGCTGGTAACCATGTCGGCTGACCGCTACCGCCTTGTAGCTTTCTTAAATGTATGCCATGTTTAATTGAAATGGTTAACAGCCCTGCTTTTGAGTTCTAGATCTAAATTGGGTTGTGATGACCAGCAAGGGTGTGCGTTACATATCTGTATGTGGTAGTGTCAATCTGTAAGTACTTGATGGGCCATTGTAGCTATGATGTAGAGGAAGTTAGGTGCTCATTCACATCTATGGTGTCTTCACTTGCTTATGCCTGGCTTTCACTTGACTGACCAAGAGCGGTGAAAGTTAATTCCTGTGGATTCCTTCTAACTTCAATGGCTTCCTTTGCCTGCAAGTTTAGTCTCTGTAATTGATTATGTAAGCCTCAGCTGTTGCTTATCTACAGCTGTTTGTTTTTAGTGTGCACCCCTGGCAGACTAGTGATCACTATGTGGAAGAACAAAGGTGTGTGGAGTAAAGATGAAGAGTAGCTCCATTTAGCTGTGGATATCCTATTATCAGCATGTTTTCCGAGTCCCTGTTTCTCTCCCTCAAATCATTACTTTAGTCTCTGTTGTATCCTGTAATTGATCCCAGAAATGAGGCCCAGATGGGCCCTTGAACACTGCACAAGAGTCAAACGGCAACGTCAGCATTCTCTTTTCCTCTGAGAGTGTGTGGGTGCACACTTGCTTTCTTTTTCAAAAGTGTGTGTTGCATGCTGCACTGTTTATTTCAGGGTTAACCCTTCATATGTGAGACTCCTGTGTCAGGACAGACAGTTTATGGTTACATCACTTCCTCTAATCTCCTTGCGACCTGGCCCACACGCTCTTCCACAGCCTGTGCAATGACACCCGGAACCAGAGAGGCTTACTGACTAGCTTTTGAGATTGATATGCCATCAGTTTTGTGGCAGTCGCCTGTATGCTTTTGAAACTGTCTCCAGTTTGTCCGCCATCCAAACAGTAAGCGGGCAGCTCAGTTGCACAAGCAGGTTTTGCAAGTATTCTGTCTGGACCGTCCTGGAGCCAGCTAGGGCTATGCACCAGGCCATTACTGGCCTAAAGCTGTATTGTGTAACGCCACATAAACAGTGTTAAAATTCTGAGCCTTGTTCAACAGGCTCAAGGTAAGGGTTAGGCTTTGCAACATGTTCCCAGTGTACAGAAACTGATAGGGGCTAACTTAGAGGCGATAAACTCAATAACCTAGTGAAAAGAAAGCCCCTGTAAAACTTTGTAATGTTGTTAAACCATGTGATTGGCTGATGATTTGGCTAGGTGAATTCGAGCCCTAGATTAAATGCAAGTTATTCAGAACTAAATGGGAGCTGAAGCTTGAGAATGCATTTTTTTGAAACAGATGGCCCATGCAAAGCGAAGAGGTAAATGTCTGAAGGACAGTATCTTCTATAAACGGTCTTTGTTCAACACTGTCAGAAAAAAGGGAGGTCGAGGGTTGGGGGCATTATTCTATTTCAGTAAATGTGCTCCAAAAGTAGTTTTTATTCCCCCACAAATTGTTTAAGAAAAGTGCTGGCGCTATCTGGGAGAGGTGGTGGGAGGCAAGGCAGTGATGAAGGATACAGGCAGGCTTACATTTACTTGTACGTGGGAGAGACTGAGAAATCCAAGCAGGGACGTGATTGAACTGAAGGAGTGTGAATGGGAGACACAAGGAGAGAAAGGAAGTGTGGGTTGTGAAATCAGAGTAGAGTTTCCCAGCGGCTGCTGCTTCACATCCCACCATGTGAGGTTATAAGGATACACAGTGGAGTCAGTCAACCTTAACAATGCCTATAGTTTTAACATGTACATTCCAACCCAGTAGTACATTCTCAGTTGTTTTCTTCACTCAAAGACAGACCCCATACTTAATGCCAAACTATAGCTCATATCCATGACTCTGCCGATTCCTAATGCAGTGTTTCTGTAAGGGCCTTTTGTATTAAGGATTACTGTTGTGATAATGGAATGACATTCACATGGGTCCTCTCTCTGAGGCCTATTTCCAAACCTAGATAGCGGATTAAGCCTGGATTTTGTAGTTATCCTGACTTAATTGAGCCGTGATTCGGTTTCATGAAAGTACTGGAACATAAGTTATCGTGGAGATTAATTCTGTGCAGCTAGCCTGCTCTCAGGCTAACAGCCAGGCGTGTTTATTTCTGGTCTCTTATCAGTTCACTTCAATTTAGTCCTGTTCTGTTGTATTGTATCATATAGCCCAAAATCACAAATTTGCTTCAGAGAGCTTTATAAATCTGTACAGTATATAACATCCTCTGTCCCAGGACCCTCTCATCACAAAAGGAGAAACTTCCCAAAAAGACTCTGTAATGGGGAAACAAAAGAAAGAAACCTCAGGGAGAGCAACAGAGGAGGGCTCCCTCTCCCAGGATAGACGGAAGTGTGATAGATAGATGTATGTATATATACCAGTGGCAGGCCGTGCATTTTATACCTGGGCCTTCACTACTGTCCTGCAGCTGAAACACCTCATTATGACGCCACAGCTACGGTTATTATTTGTTTCGTGTAAAAATGAAGCTCAACACCTATAAAAACACTAACTGCAGAGTGCAGATACATGAATACGCCGAGAGTGTCTCCTCTCTTCTCTGACTGCAGCTGGGACTGCTGCGCACTACTGTGAGAGTGAGTGCTTTGGGGCGGCTCACGGCAGCACCCGCTGCTCTTTCACGTCAGAGTCAAAACACCAGAAAAAGTCACTAGATTTGTCGCTAGTAGCTTTTGACAAAAAACATCGCCAAGAGGGTTCAGAAAGTCAC